CGGGCCCGGGGCCCGGCGGCACGGGCGGCGCGGAGCGGCCGGAGCGGAGCGGCCCCGGCCCCGCCATGGAGGACGGAGTTTACGGTGAGGGCCGTAAGGCGTGAGGGGAACGTGATGGGGGGGGGTCGAGAGAGGAGCGGGGGGTGCTCCGTGAGGCGGCGGCCAATGGTGGAGCGAGGAGCCGTCACGTGATGGGCGAGGCGGGAAAAGGGAGGGAGGGGTCACGTGACTGGGCGGGACCAATCGTGAGGGGGCGGGGCGAGGAATTGCCACAATGGAGGATGTGGCCACGCCCCATTTGGAACTGACCACGCCCACCTAGCACAAACCACGCCCCTTTCCTCACATAGCCACGCCCTCTCAGAGATGCAAATCGGGCCTCGCCCCCCTGGGGGAGGAGCCAATCCTTATTTGGAAAACCACGCCCCCTTCCGACAGACCACGCCCCGATGCCTTTGTACGGAAGCGAGGGGCGTGGCTTGGTTGGGAAGGGGGCGTGGTCAGGGAAAGCACAGCCAGGTGTGAGCTGGGCGTGTCCAGGTGTGTCCAGGTGTGTCCAGGTGTGCCCAGGTGTGCCCAGGTGTATCCCAGGTGTGCCCAGGTGTATCCCAGGTGTGCTCAGGTGTATCTCAGGTGTGCCCAGGTGTATCTCAGCTGTGCCCAGGTGTACCCAGGTGTATCCCAGGTGTGCTCAGGTGTGCTCAGGTATGTCCTCACCTGCAGTTCCGCCGGACCTGTCCCCCGAGGAGCGCCGGGAGCTGGAGTCCATCCGGCGCCGGAAGCAGGAGCTGCTGGGGGAGATCCAGCGGCTGCGGGAGGAGCTCAGCGAGGCCATGAGCGAGGTGGAGGGGCTGGAGGCCACCGAGGGCAGGTGAGGGGCACACCGGGATTCCCAGGGTTCCCAGAAATTCCCAAAATTCCCCCCAAAAATTCCCCAAAAATTCCCACCCCGGGAGGTCAAAAAATCCCCCCAAAAATTCCCATAAATTCCCAAAATTCCCAAAAATTCCCCCAAAATTCCCACCCCGAGAGGTCAAAAAAACCTCCAAAAATTCCCCCCAAAATTCCCAGAAATTCCCAAACCGGGAGGTCAAATAATCCCCCCCAAAATTCCCAAAATTCCCAAAAATTCCCCCAAAATTCCCACCCCAGGAGGTCAAAAAACCCGAAAAAATCCCAAGAAAATCCCCCAAAAAATTCCCAGTTGGGAGGGTGAAAAATCCTCCAAAAATCCCCCCAAAATTCCCCCGAATTCACAAAAATTCCCAAAATCCCAAAAATTCCCACCCCGGGAAGTCAAAAAAAACCCAAAAATTCCCACCTGGGAGGGTGAAAAATAAAAAAAAAAATTCCCACAAAAAATTCCCACAAAATTCTCACCTGGGACCCCCGAATTTCCCGAAATTCCCCCAAATTTTCCCAAAATTTCCCGAATTTTCCCCAAATTCCAGCAAGACTCTGCAGCGGAACCGGAAGATGGGGATGGGACGGAAGAAATTCAACATGGACCCCAAAAAGGTGAGCGGGAATTCCAGGGGGAAATTTTGGGAATTTTGGGAATTTTTGGGAATTTT